GGATCTCTGTGAGTTCGAGGCCAGCCTGGTCTACAGAGTGAGTTCCAGGATAGGCTCCAAAGCCACACAGAGAAACCCTGTCTCGAAAAACCAAAATAAATAAGTGAAGAAGAGGAGGAAGGCCCAAGATGAGACACAGGATGAGACATATTAGACATATTAACCGGTTTATTATAGGCCCAGCAGAGTAGGGAGACTAAGAGAGAAGAGGAACAGGGTAAATGGCTGAACGCCATGGACGGTCGCCATAGAGAGAGAGAGAAAGAAAAGCAGACAGAAAAGAGTAGAGAGTACAGAGAGAAGTGTAGAGAGAGCGTAAATAGGCAGGGGTCTGTCTTTTAAAGCAGACTTAGTTCCCATGGAACCCTGGGCTGACCAGGGTACTGCCTGCTCCACCAGGTAACTAACAGGGCCAGGCCAGCGTCATGCCTGAACCTTTCAGCTCTTATATATTTTTTTCTGATTCTTCCTTCAGTGTTTCCTCTGACCCTACATTTTATATGTTTAATAAGCACGTCAGCCTTGGATTGGAAACCTAACACAGAGGACCCAAGTTCAAGTCCTAGTGCCAACTGACGGCTCACAACTATCCACAACTCCATTTCCAGGGGACCTGGTGTTCTTTTCTGGCTTCCACAGGTACCAGGCACTTGTTAAATTTTTGCTTAAATTAGAAATAAAGAAGAAAATGAGACATACGACTAAGAGACATATTAGACATATTAACCAGTTTATTATAGGCCTGGCAGAGTAGGGAGACTAAAGGAGAAGAGAAACAGGGTAAATGGCTGACCGCCATGGCCTGTCGCCATAGAGAGAGAAGAGAAGCAGAAGGAGACAGAGAAGAAAAGAGAGTAGAGTGTAAATGGGCAGGGTCTGTCTTTTAAAGGGGTCCTCTGCACCTGCGTGTAGACTTAGTTCCCATGGAACCCTGGGCTGACCAGGGTACTACTGCCTGTTCCACCAGGTAACAGGGGGCGGCCAGCATCATGCCTGAACCTTTCACCCCTAGCGTGTCCACCATCGCCTATGGAGATGTGTGAGCCTACCAAGAGGGCCACAAGCTCGGAAAGACTCCAGGTCTGGGGTCATACCGTCTCCCGGCCATTTTCCTGGCTGGCTGTGCCTCTTGCCAGTCCTACTGAGCTAATGGGCGTTGACATGAATGGGGCCTCTGAGACCGTCCCGAGTGTTTATTTCACACGATACTGTGCCCCCCAGCTATGCAACTGCACAGCCGGACAGGTGGCTTTTCACTACACTCTTAGGGTCTGTCTTTTCCAGCTCTATTTCCGCTCTTTCTTTCCCTCTCTCTTTCTCTGGTTCCCCTGGGGCAGACAGGACTTTTCCTGTCTCCCTCTTCTCTTCTGTCCTCTTTGTCTCTCTGTCTCTTTGCCTCTTTTCTCTTTCCTTCCCCTTCCCTCCCTTTTCTAGTAAAACTTATCACTTAAGCTCTGTCTGCCTGGCCTGTTTGTCCCCTGCCTCAGTCATTCTCACCTGCCATGGGATCCACAATGGGCCCCTATGCAAGGTCCCCTCAAGCTTTATCCTAACTCTAGGAATTCTTGAGAACAAAGGAACCAACCCCTGCTGCCCTTTGGTATATCGGGGACTTCCACTCCACCACCCAGTTTCCAAAGCTTTAGACTCAAGAGGATATATGGGGCACAGTGCCCTTCAGTCCATCCCCCAGACTTTGAGCGTCAAGGAAATCCAGGTGAACCTGAACTGGGAGCCGGTGCTGGCCATCTTGCTGTCACCTGTGAGGTAAAGGCGACCACTCCTCCATCTTTACACTGTTAAGAGCCCAATCACCTTTTCAGTTCCTCCCCACAGAGGGCAATCCTTGAAATGAAAAGATAACTTTAACAGTAAGGCTTTTGTTATTCTCTCTGAAGGTAGCTGGAGCCCAGGTCGAATCAATTGCAGGCCGCATGAGACTCCAGAATCAAGATGGCAAACCTTTGGATGTCATCAGCGGACTCCAGTTCAGATCCCCTTGGACAGACCTAGGTTACAGAAGAACCTGAACCCCAAGTGCGAACTGGGGTGACCCAAAGGGCTCCCTTCACTTCCTCCAGAGAGAGAGAGCACTGAGGTCGGCTTTCCCTAAGTATGGGAGACACAAACTGTGAGTCCTTCCAGGTAAGATGACATCTGGCAGTGACATAGTCTGACAAAGGACTTAGAAAAGAAAGTGTAAAATAGCTCCTCAGTCTTCCCACATTGGCACTCTCCCCATGAGGGATACTGGAACATAGGTTTCTGTTTCAGTCGCCATAATCTGAGTGGCTTCCTCACAAAGATTCTTTGGACTCTAGGTTTCTCATGAGTCCTTTTATAATGAAGGCAGGAGAAAGGCTCTAGCTGAGTACATTCCCACGTTGGCCACATTTTTAAATATAATTATTTAACTCTACTTTCTGTGCATTGGTGTACAGGTATCAGATCCCCTGGAACTGGAGTTTCAGTCAGTTGTAAGCTACCATGTGGGTGCTGGGAATTGAACCTGGGTCCTCTGGAAGAGCAGTAGCCCATGCTCTTAACTGCTGAGCTGTAGTGGCATCTTGCCTTGCCAGTGAACTTGTAGTGGTGGCCACACCCTTTGGGCGTGTTTTCAGGTGCAGATTTCAGGTGACCCATTAGGTTTCGGAGATATAGGACGCACAGAGACGACATCTTCCAGAGCAGGAAGGCCATGGGGATTATTTACTCTTTATCTATGTAAGTGCTTTCCTAATAAATACATATTTATCATCTACCTTGGGTCTGGTGGACTCATTTAAACCCCGCCCTCACTGAGCCGTCTCTCCAGCCCTGGCCACATTTTTAAAGACCTCTTTCCAGTGTGACATTTCTGGTGCTGAGAGAAACTGCAGCTTTGATCAAAGGTGTTCCTAAATCCAGTGCACTTGGAAAGCTCTAGCATGTCCTTCCTGGTGCTTGGACAGGTTAGCGCTATAGCGGAATGCTTTTCCACATTTGCTGCAATGTGTAGGCTTTTCTCCAGTATAGATTCTCGGGTGCTGACTGAGGATGGGGCTTTCACCAAAGACTTTCCCACACCAGCCACACTCAAGGCCCTTTTCCAAATATGAACTTTCCAGTGCTTAGCAAAATTAGAGCTATAGCTGAAGGCTTTCCTGCATTCACTGCCTTTGTAAGGCTCGCTCTCCTGTGAACCTTCTGGTGCTGAATGACGGCAGAGCTTTGGCTGAAGGCTTTTCTACGTTCTGAGGCTTCATAAGGGCTCCCCCCCCCCCCCCGCATGAATTCGCCGGTGTGGAGCAAGGTTAGAGAGAGGACTGAAGGCTTTCCCACCCTGGTTGAGGTTATCGGGTCTTTCTGCAGTGCGGCTCCTTTGATGCAGAACAAGCTTGGGGGTTTGTGGAAAGGCTTTCCCACAGTCACTGCACTCTGGAGGCCTTTCTGTGTTGGGAACTTTCTGGTCACCAACAAGGCAGGAGCTCTATATGGGGCTTTCCTACACTCGTTGCATTGTAAGGCCTTTCTCCATTGTGTATATCCTGGTGCTCAACAAAATTGGAACCAAAGACTCTTCCTGCACCAGTTGTATTCAGAAGGCCTTTCTGTGTTGTGAACGTTCTGAGGCCAAACAACATGGAAGCTTCAAGCAAAGGCTTCCTCAGCACTGGCCACGCTCATACGGCCTTCCTCTACTGCGAACTCTCTGGCGCCGAACCGCTGAGGGTTTTCAGGTGGAAGCTTTTCCACATTGACTACAGGTAGGATGTGACATTTCCCTATGATCTTCCTGATGTGACCTTAGTTTGAAAAGTGGCTGAAGATCTTCCATTTGTCACACACACATGAAATGTTTTCCATGTGATATTTGTTGTCATTAACATGATTTGAGTTCTCGGTGAGCCCATTCCCACTTGTTGGACATCTCAAGTGTCTTTCTTCACAATGTGTTGTCAGGGAAGCAAAGGCCTTTTGCAAGCATGTTCCACAGATGCTGCATTGGAAAGGCTTCTGTGTATTACAACTTCCTGCTGTTCCTTGTGGCTAGACCAAGGGAAGGCAGTACTGTGCTCAGTGTTCTCTTTGCTGGGGATCAGAGCCTTCGAAGATCTTTCTCTCTCTCTCTCTCTCTCTCTCTCTCTCTCTCTCTCTCTCCTTTCTTTCATGGTTTTCCAAAACAGGGTTTCTCTGTGTAACAGCCCTGGCTCTCCTGGAACTCTGTGTAGACCAGGCTGGCCTCAAACTCACAAAGATCTACCTGCCTCTCCCTCCCAGCAAAGATACCTTTGTCTTCTTTTTTTTTTTTTTTTTTTTGCTTTTTTTAGATTTATTTATTTGTCTTCATGTAAGCCTGCAGGCCAGAAGAGGGCACCAGATCTCATTACGGATGCTTGTGAGTTGCTGAGGATTGAATTCAGGACTCTGGAAGAGCAGCCAGTGATCTTAACTGCTGAGCCCTGACTGTCCTGGAACTCTCTCTGTAGACCAGGCTGGCTTTGAACTCAGAGATCCACCTGTCCCTGCCTCCCAAGTGTGTTGTGTTCCCCTATGTTCTTCAAAAAGTTTTCAAGACTGTGCCACACACACCTCTAGTATAGACCTTCCAGCCTGTCTTATAGGTCCCAAACTGGAACACTACAAACACAACCTGCCGAGGAAAGCCTTTCTCCAGTCCATGCCAGCACCCTAAGGAATATATGCACCAGGAAAGTATCTGTGGGGGCTTTGTTGGAACCGGACAGTCTATTTTTTTGCTTTTGTTTTTGTTTTTTTTTTGCCCCCCCCCCCCCACACACACAGGGTTTCTCTGTGTAGCTTTGGAGCCTATCCTGGCACTTGATCTGGAGACCAGGCTGGCCTCAAACTCACAGAGATCTGCTTGCCTCTGCCTCCTGAGTGCTGGGATTAAAGGCGTGCGACACCAATGCCCGGCCAGGCAGTCTAGTTTTGTGAGTTCATTTTGTTTGAGATAGTTTCCTGTTTGTCCTCCGGCATGTCTTCATCTAGCCGTGATTCTCCTCCTTCTAGCTCCAAAGATAGATTACAGGTGTGTGTCATCACCAAGCTTGTGTGCAGCCTCTTTACAAGCGCAGATCCAGCCAGGTGTGGTGGCTCATGCCTTTAATCTCAGCGCTCAGGAGACAGAGGCAGGTGGATCTCTGTGTGTTCAAGGCCAGCCTGGCGGTCTACAGAGCAAGTTCTAGGACAGCCAGAATTGTTACACACACAGGGAAACTCTGTCTACAAAAAACAAAATAAATAGAAGAGTTGCCTAACACTATTTAAAAATTGGTGCTACTCCTGTTGGGGGGGGGGGTAGGGCTTTCAAGGGTGGAGATTTCCACTGTTGGGATTGGTGGAATTTCAAGTCCTGAACTTGGGCTTTTCCCTCTATAGGAGTGGGGCTGGGGCTGGTTGTTAGGGCAGTCAGAGTGTTCTGTGTGTGGAACCCAGCCATTGGAGGTCTTCAGGGGGCCTGGCCACTCCAAGCCTTGAGGGACTTATACCTTCCCCTGAAATTGCTCTTCCCTTCCTGACTGTGTGGTAGGTACCACAGCTCAGTCAAGTAGTCCTCAACTGCCACAAATAGTCATCTACTCACTTAGCCTAAAGATCCCCCCCCCCCTTTTTAAGTTTATTATTTGTATCTCTGGAGGTCTGAAGCATGTGAATACAGTTGCATGAGGATTCCAGGTGTGTTGGTGTGTGCCTGCCTGTAATCACAGGACTGGGAAGGTACAAGCAGCAGGACAATCAGGAGTTGGGTCCCAGCCTGTGTTGTATAAGACACTGTCTAAATAAATAAGAAAGAAAAAGAAGAACCAGTAACGGCTGTAGCTTTGCTGGACCTGTGAGCTTGGAGATGGGAGAAATATACATTTTTTTCATCTGTTGTTAAGCGGGCCAGATTTTAACGATGTGGAAATAAGGACGGAATAATTAGGAATGTTCCCATGGAGTCTGTCCTCAGTACTAGAAGTCAGGCCCTTGTGGGTCTCCCCTCCTTCCTCACGGTCACCCCAAGCATCCATCTTGGGCAGCCAGAGGGAGCTCGGGAACATGAGATCACCCATCTAGGGTGCTTCAACCCGCCCATGGCTCCCACTACCTCTCAAAGTTCTTCGGACTGCTGCTACTCTACCTTGTCTTCCTCTCCCCACAGATGAATACTGCAGCTCGGCTCCGTCCCCTATGCATTCAACAGCTTTCCCTAATTGACGGTCTCCCAGAAGTGCGAAACCCTCCACCCAAGGCATAGTGGGAGTTTGGGGACCTTTATTTATTTGTGAGTCTAGGGATCTCGCAAGACAGCGAGCAGGGGGATTGGAAGAAGTCCGTAGACACCCTTTCCAGTTCGGGGCAGGTATGAGTGTGAGCCTCGGCGAGAACTCGGGCACGTCCCGAGGACTCAGCAATGCCCTCGATTTGCAGGGCTGGGTGACCGGGAGCCGAGGTCGCGCTCGGGCACTCAAGGCCCCGTGCACCACCTTCGGGGCTGCGGGGCGGAGGACGG